ATCTTCTGTTTCAGTCCGTTATTACACTCTTAAATCCATAAACATAAATTCCATAAAACACAAATTTCTATGGGGGTGGCGGACAACTTCTGTCATTTGTTTTTCTGTCATTTGGTGTAGTGTGAAAGACTGTGGGGAGGTCCTCATCAGCAGGACAAGCAGTAAAACCTAAACTGAGAATACAGTTAGACCAAAATCTGTGTCCTCCTCCACGTGTTGCAGAGCTGTCCTGTGGGCCTCTTTGCCTCTTGGCCTTGTGTTTAACACCTGCAATTTGTAGCATAGGCCCTAGTTGGTTTTTTATAGAAAAAACTATTATACTACTCACACATATCTATGTGATAAATACAGCACAACGAGCAATATGAGAGTATTTAAACACTAAAACACACGTGGAGGTGAAGAGCAGCCTGATTTGTGCACATTTTAATATTTACAGTTGAATTGGTGATGATATTTTTTCAGATTTCTATAAATAAAAGTGGGCTGCACTGCTGCCTCGTCCCGTGACGAGAACATGCTGTTTGATCAGTGTTAGAGGATGATATCTCTGCTGTGGTGAGTGTAGAAGCAGGTGTGAAGCACACAGAGTGTCCACGTCCTAAAAAGACAAGGCAGCGTTTTTAAATCATTCAAAACTTATATTGACGTAAAAGAAATGAGATTCACATTTGAAGCAATGAATTACCAAAGAGAGCAGGAGAAACGGCTTCCTGCTGGGAGCTGTGCCGTCTGCAGCCTCCCACTGACAGTCGAGAGTTTTCTGCTGAGCTCGGTGTCGCTGTGGATGCAGAGCAGCAGGACTGGACTGTCTGCACTCAGCCAGGGTACAGCTCAGGTCAGCTTCAGTCTTCCTGAGTCATAAAATCTTTTACTTGGTATTCATCTCACAGAGCCTCTTATCTAGATTTTATTTTTAACTTCACACCAAAATGAACTGATGGTGACAGGATGTGTAAATTCTCTTTTCTTATGAGAGGACAGAAGACGCTGGATCCCAGTTCAAATGTGCGTCCACTCAGACCGCTGTCATTAGAAGAACCCAGCATGGCAAATCTAAATATGGCCCAGTTCAGCAGATTAACTGCACATATCAGAGGATGCAGCCCCCTAAGGTGCTTCATCTGAAGACCAGCGTGATAAAACCAACCTGAGCTGGAAAAAGAAGCCGATGCTAAACATCTGCACGAGTCGAGCTGCATAGTACAGCATGAAAAACCATGTTTACTGATTCGCTGGTGTGTGTGCTTACTGATTGGCCCATGAAATTTATGTGTTCAAAATACAGAGCACAAAACTGGTGAGTGACATCACACTGCGAGTAAAACATAACGAGGGAAAAAAGATGCACGCTGCATGGTTTGCTGTTTCCATAAACTGCGTAACATGTCGGCGGCATGTGCTCAGTCCTGCCAGTGTGGCGGTGCTGCTCTGCATTCCTCAGCAACATCCCTCGCAGCATACGGCTGCCACATGTTCCTTCGGCCGTCCTCGTCTGGAGTAGTTCCTCTTTGCAGACCTCAAACCTGATCCAGCAGACCACAGTGTAACAGATGAAGTGGGATGCAGCAGCCTGTGTCCGGCCTCTGCGGGACCTAAATGTGATTACTGTAATAACCACCTGCGCTGTTGGATGTTTAATGGGATTATGTGAGTTTGTCTCATTAAAGCAGATTAAAACACAGGGGACTGACTCTTACATGTGCGTCGCTCTATTAAGCGGTCATATCCACTTACTGGTCATTAAGCAGCGAGAGTTTGGCGTTTCCACTTCATCAGTTTCCGCGCTCGTCTCCGCCGGTGTCCGTTACGTGCTAACGATTAAATCGAGCTCGGCAGCCTGCCGGCGTTTGTCCAGCGTTACGCCGAGACTGCGTTTCTGCCGTCGTTGTTGCTCATCTTTTCCTCGTTGCCTCTCCTTGTCCTACAGTTGTCCATTCCTGGCGCAGCAGCTGACTCCAGTCATCCCGGTCATAGGAGG